AATGGGGTTATTAAGGAGGGGAATGATGATAGTGTAGTGTCCTGACCCTCAGTGGTCTGTCACATAGGATGCCACCCAATATTCAAGAGACTGGCACAACAGAAAGAGCAACCCACTCAATTGATGCCCCTTCATGAGCCGGGCTCTCCAACACTTCTGGACCCTGTTTTTCGTGTGTTTTGGCTTTGACATGTTAAGTCAGCAACTACTTTTTCTTGTATCCCCTTCTCCCACGGTATCTTTGCCTTTGCTGTTTGCTGTATGGTTCTTGCTACAGACCAACCTCTACCTTCTCGTATGGGCAGAATATGCCACCCCTACCTCTGATCTGTGGGAGCACTTTTACTAACCCCTCTACCTTCCTGCAGCCCAACCCCGGTTCTTCCTTACATCCCCAAAGATCCAGGCTTAGTAGGCTCTTGTTCATCAGAAGCCCTAGCCAAGGCGGGTTGGAGTTGGGCATCCAAACTCACCCGCCACGCTTGACTGTTTGGGATTCAAAACCTCCCTTTTCATGGCTTGCCAAGACCATAAGGGCCGACAGCATTATTCAGTTGTTATATAGTAAGTAACTGGATTTCGGTCTTTGGAGTTACTGATGAGCTGAAATAAATTGATGAATCAAATAAGGTAATCTCTTGTCTACCTAGTTAGGGCATCGTTGTAGGGAAGAAATGAAGCGATTGTGTTTTGTGGGCAACATCCCAGTATGTGGGAGCAAGAACGATATGGTTCAGTCTTATCTGTAGGTGTACCAGCATTGCAAATGCTGGGTAAAGTAGACGTATTTGCTGGTCTAGCACTCAGCAAATACAGCCGTTTCCGTCCCATTCAGTTAGCTAATTAGCTAATAATGTTGGCAGCTGCGCCTTGAAAAAACATCGGAGATGGGGACACTAATGCAATGGGTACTGTTAAGGTTCAGGGTAATAAAAAGATCTTTTAAAATTATTGAAAGCACTTTGCCTAATAGATGTTGGAGCTGTAGCCCATACATGAGTTTATGAATCCCTTATGGGTGTCCATTCTGTAAGGAAAATGAAATATGATCTTCTGTAATTGGTTAGCAGATGGAGTCTTGATTTATTTATTTTTCACCTGGAGGGGACTTGCTCGCCAGCCTCTTGGACGTGAATTTAAACTTTATTCCATTCTCTCGAGGGAGCGTTCCCATAATAACATCAAGCACCATCTTTCCTGTCCTGCTTTAAAGCTGTTTCTTCCCTTTCTCAACCACTTTTGATCTGTAATATTGAATGTGAAATGATCTGGACCTGCATTTCATGATCCTCTTTGAAAGCGAGGAATGCGGACCGAGTGCGATGCAGGCTTGCCAAGTCCGATGCAGAAAGCTTCCTTTTGAAGCGCTTAATGTGCTGTTATATTGCAGAATGGAAAATCACACCATCCTCATTCAAGTCTTGATCCACTTCTTATGGGCTTTAAAAAATTATACACATCGTGAAGCAATCAAGGCAGGCATGTTCTCAAGCTGAGTAATTGCGTGATCCTACTGTAACCCGTCTTTTTCCCCTAGTAAATACGTTCTATTAAATTATGTCTATTTAGATTGTACACTCTTTGGGGGCAGCGATACAGTTTATATTGGTTTTATCCTTTTTTTTTTTTTTTAGGACGGATGTTTTATAGTTGTTTTTCCTAAGACTGGCCTACTCTTAAAGTAAGGTCTTCTCAGCATTGTGCTGGAATCAGGATTGCCAGTGAATTGCATAGACCCCGTTATGCGATTTCCTCTCTTTCCTTTCCTTTCCCCTCGTCCTCCCCCACTTTCTCAAGTCTTCATTCTTTTGAGATTTGTCAGCCGCAATTTGAAGTGTCGCTGTACTCTGCAAAGCAGTCGTGTGCCTATTCCTGTGGTCTCAATTGTGCCAAACCGTCCCTGTTGATATGGTGAATGAGAAGTAAGGAAAAGCTTCCAGCTCCCCACTCCCACACTTAGTTAAGTACTGGGAAGTCCAGGCGAGTTCTTCCTCTGTGCATCATCAGTTAAGGTTTTGCCCCCCTCTCTGCTGTCGATCGTACCTGTGCAAAAACCCTCGCACCGTTTATTAAGGTAATAGCTCGGTTCTGTATTGCTGACTTCGTTGGCAGTGATCTGCGAATTGGACCTGGCATGCTTTCCCATAACTGTGTTGATTTTTTTTTCTTTCTTTCTTTGTAGGGCTAATTAGCAGGAAGCAGTAAAAATGTACTCTTGCTTGGAGTACAGAAATCCCAACTCTGAAGACAGGGGAGGAACAGATCCATTGCGTGCTGTTTTCTGACGACCGTACTTTTAACGCTTGGCTTTGCAAGTCAGTTTTTATGCGTGGTGGTTACTCAAGAGAAAAGACCTAAAACATATGAGGACAGTCTGCTGCCTCTCAACAAAAGAGGAATTGTATTAAGAATATTGTTGGAGACTGTTGTTCTTGGAGCAGGGTGGAGCAATTATGGGAAATCAAATGCTCGTGATCTGTAAAACCAGGTTGTTTTTTTTCCCACTCATCACTAATTCCCAGGGTATGAACAGGGATGGCGCTGAAGTCTCTGGGTACCAGTCCTGCAGCAGATGTGCAAACTGAATAGAAATTTAATTTAGCCTTAATTGGAGCAATAAGAGATGATCGGTGCATGTGGTGGGTGTGTCGGCATCTCTCTTGCACTCCACTGAGTGCCTGTTGGCAGGGTTTGTGCTCTGTGTGCTGGCAGGAAAATTTCAGGGAGTTAGAAGAAGATGGTTCCTTAAGAAAAGCAGAGAGCAAGCTACAGTAGTATGTGGGGATTTACCATTTCCCCCCCCTCCCTTTTTTAGCTTCCAGTACTTTTCAGAGGAGATAAAAGCCACATCTGAGAAGATGGCCAGCTGACAATTACGGTGCAGCCGAGGAGAGCTTTTATGGGGATGCAAAAGGAGGAGGAAATGAAGAAGGTAGCGGGGGGGAATCCCTTGTTGCACAAGAGAAGCAGCGTGTCCGTCTGTTGGATTTCCAAAATCTGTTCTCGTTTAATTTCTCAGTAAAACACGCCGGGTAGATGCAGCTAGAGGCGTTTGCTGTCTGTTCTGAGGCTTCTTTCACCTCAGAGCTTCCCCTGCACATTTCCAAGTAATTTTTTCTCTCTTTCCACCCCTACCCCCACTTTTTTTTGTGTATCTATGCTCAAGTCCTCTGCATCTATCCCTTGGCTTTGAGTTCTTGGCAGCTTGTTTTGCTGTGTCCCACTTAGTGTTTGGCTACCCGGCTCGCCATTCACCTCTTCGCTCGCATCGGCCTCGTCCAGTCTCAAAGTCTGCTCCTCCTTCTGGACCGCATGGACGTCTTGTCATCCCCTTGGCCATGAAGTGTCACGTTGGCTTTCCCCTTGATGCTGTCCACAGGAGATCTCCCTTAGGCACCAGCTTCCCAAACCAGCTGGCATCTCACTGGAGACTAGCCTTTCTCTGATGCGCAGTGCATGACTGCCGGTTTGTTGTCCAGCTTACTTGTTTCATCTTCATTTCATGGCTCACGTTCCTTCGCTGCTGTACACCTGCCAACGGGAGCAGCTGCTCCTGCCAGTGCTGGCTGGCATCCTGCATCCCTGCGTCTGCCTTGCTTCTCTGTTCCTGCCTGGTTTTTTACTGTCAAACTTCCCCGGTGCAGTGTCTGCCCGGGCAGTTCTCCTGCTCGTGGTGTGGGAGGTTTGCAGGGCAATGTGCCAGCTGCCTTCTCGCAACATTTGCAGAAGAACAGCAATTACCATAGCCCTTATCACTTAAGGCGTTACTTTACCGCACCCTGTTACCTTACCGCACCCTGAGGAAGGTGATAAGCCAAGGGTGACCGGTGTAAGTGGCTGTGCAGATGAGTTATCCCAACTCAGATAGGTAAATGTTTACAGGATCAGTGCTTAGAACAAGAG